CCTGCCCTGCCCTGCCCTTCCCGCATCACCCTCCGCTCCTGCCTTGCCCTGCCCGCATCCCCGCCGCCGGCCGCCCCTCTCCCACCCCGCGCCGCCCATGTCCCCCCTGGGCCCCCGCACCCGCTGGGTGAGCGACTTCTTCTCGTACGAGACCACCAAGTCGGTGGTGGTGAAGAGCTGGGTGGTGGGCGCCGTCAACCGCGGCGTCCAGCTCCTCATCCTCGCCTACTTCGTTGGGTGAGCCCCCCCCGGCACTTCCGGGACATCCCCCCGGAACATCCCCCGGGACCCCTTTTCCCGAGATTTCCCCCCCCAGGACCCCCTTCCCGGCTCCGCGGGGTGCGACAGCCACTTGCTGCTGCAGGTGACACCCGGGGGTGACGAGGGCGATGGGGGGTTGACAGCGAGGGGTGCGGGGTGAGGAGGTGGCCAGGCCGGGAGCGGCGGGTGAGGGACGGGAGAGAGGGTGACAAGTGTGTCAGTGCCGGGAATTCAGGTGTGCCGCTGGGGTGACACAAGGGGGACAGCCGGGAGAGTGTGCCGGTGGGGTGACACGGTGGTGACAGCCGGGACAGCGTGCCGGTGCGGGTGACGGGAGGGTGGCAGCGCGGGTGACATGATGGGGACAGCGAGCAGAGAGGGTGTCGGCGCGGGTGACACAAGGGGGACAGCCAGGACAACACCTCGGGCGGGCGACGGGGAAGGGGACAGTGAGGGTGACACCGAGGGGCAGAGCAGCAGCGGGGATTGACGGGGGGGGGGTCCCTGTCCCCGGGTGCTCCTGGGGGGCTGACAGCGGCCACCGGCGGGGGGTGACAAGCGGCAGTCACCGCCGGTGCTGGCAGCTCCGGGGGGTCCTGGGCGTCGCAGGCGGGTGCCGGGGGGTGTCCGGGGGTGGCTGTCCCCAGCGTCACCCGCCGTGCCGTCGCAGCTGGGTGTTCCTCCACGAGAAAGCGTACCAGGTGCGGGACACCGCCATCGAGTCCTCCGTGGTCACCAAGGTGAAGGGCGTGGGGCGCTACGCGGGGCAGGTGCTGGACACGGCCGACTACGTCACCCCCCCGCAGGTGAGGGCGAGGGGCCGCCGAGGGGCGCGGGCCACACCCTGGCGCGGGTCGGGTGACGGCGGCGTCCCCCAGGGCACCTCGGTGTTCGTGGTGGTCACCAAGCAGATCCGGACCGAGGACCAGGCGCAGGGCGTGTGCCCGGAGGTGCGGGGCGGGCAGGGGGAGCTCGGGGGGACCCCCTCTGCGAGCCCCCCGCCCGCTGACCCCCGCCCCGCAGAGCGAAGCCGCGTTCCGCTGCTCGGCCGACCGGGACTGCCGCGGGCTGAGCCCGGCCACGAGCAACGGTGAGGGACCCCCGGGGGCGCTGGGGAGGGGAACGGGCACGGCTGGGGGTGCTGAGGGGGCCGGGGGGAGCCGGGGACTGAGTTCGGGTACGAGCAATGGTGAGGGACCCCCGTGAGGGCTGAGGGGGGAACGGGGGGCTGAGTGTGGGTACGAGCAACGGTGAGGGTGGGAATGGGGGGCTGAGGGTCCGGGGTGGGGCCGAAGACTGAGCCCTGCCACAGGCAGTGATGAGGGACCCTCAGAGGGGCTGAGGGGGGCAGGGGAACCAGAGCTGGCCGAGGGCTGAGCCTGGATACGAGCTATGGTGAGGGACCCCCATGAAAGCTGAGGCAGGAATGGGGGGGCTGAGTCTGGGTACCAACAACGGTGAGGGACCCCTGTGAGGGCTAGTGAGGGACCCCCGTGAGGGCGGAGGCAGGAATGGGGGGGCTGAGTCTGGGTACGAGCAACGGTGAGAGACCGCAGCGGGAACTGGGGGCTGAGGGGGCCGTGAGGGACCAGAGGCTGAGCCCCACCGTGGGCAGTGGTGAGGGACCCTCGGGGGTGCTGAGGGGGGAACGGGTGGGCTGAGGGGGCCAGGAGAACGAGAGGGGGGGCAGGAGCTGAGTACAAGTATGAGCAACGGTGAGGGACCCCTGTGAGGGCCAGTGAGGGACCCCCATGAGGGCCAAGGCGGGAACAGGGGGCTGAGGGGGCCAGGGGGAGGCCGGAGGCTGAGCCCCACCACAGGCAGTTCTGAGGGACCCTCATGGGGGCTGTGGGTGCCAGGGTGCTGATGAGGGACCTGGGAGTCTGGAGGAACAAATGGTTCAGGGTCCCAGGAGTGCTGACAGGGATCGGGGTTCCCAGAGGTGCTCCTGGGAGTACTGACATGGATCTGATGTCTCGGGGGCGCTGACAAGGGTCCAGGGGTCTCAGGGTTGCTGGCGGGGGTCGGGGGGTCCCAGGGGTGCTGACATGGGTCTGGGGTCCCAGGGATGCTGACGGGGCACTGTGTCTCCTACAACGCGACCCTGAGCACCTGCGAGATCCAGGGCTGGTGCCCGCCCGAGGTGGACACCGTTGATGTGTGAGTGGGGCCGGGGGCACACGAGGAGACACAGGGAGGAGAGGGGGCCGTGCCCTGCCACCATGTCCCCAGGGTCACCCCTTTTCCCCCAGCCCCATCATGCTGGAGGCCGAGAACTTCACCCTCCTCATCAAGAACAGCATCCGCTTCCCGCTCTTCGGCTTTGAGAAGTGAGTGGCACAGGGGAGACATGGGGAGGGGATATGGCAACAGGGGGACACAGGACATGTTGACACAGGGACGGGCACATCCCTCCATGTCCCCCCGTGTCCCCTCGTGTCCCCAGGACAAACCTGCCGCCCCCTGGCAGTGGGGTGGAGCTGGGCCGGTGCCGCTTCCACCCGCAGCTGCAGCCCCTGTGCCCCATCCTGCGCCTGGGGGACGTGGCGCGCCTGGCGGGGCAGGACTTCCCTGCGCTGGCCGCCACCGTGAGCGGGGGCACGGGGGGCACGGGGGGGAAAAGGGGGAGTGTGGGGACGTGGGGGCACAGGTAGGCGGGATGTGAGGGCATGGGGACGTGGGACTTGGTGACACAAAGGCTCTCGGGACGTGGGGATGCAGGGATGTGGGACATGGGGGTGTGAGACACGGGACGGGGGGATTATGGGATGGGGGGACACGTGGACATAGGGAAGCATGACGTGGGGACACAGGATGCAGGGATGTGGGGTGTTGGGAGCAAGATGTGGGGATACAGGAGCACAGCACATGTAGTGATGTGGGACTTGGCGGCGTGGTGATGGAGGGTCAGAGGGACATGGGGACACAGGCACATGGACATGGGCACATGGGGTTTGGGATGTGGGATGTGTCTATAGACGTGGGAATGTGAGACTTGGGGACTTGGGGATGTGGGATGTGGGTACGTGGGACACGGAGCATGAGGCCATGGGAATGTGGGGCTGTGAGGCTGTTGAAACAAGACACTGTGGGAACAGAGGTGTGTGGTGCCATGTGGCTGATGTGGTGCCGGGGCAGGGGGGAGTGCTGGGGATCAAGATCGGGTGGGTGTGTGACCTGGACCGGGCCTGGGAGCGCTGCCTGCCCCACTACTCCTTCACCCGCCTGGACAGCCTGGCCCGGACTCCTGCCCCTGGCTACAACTTCAGGTACGGCCGTGCCGCCACCGCCACACACACGGCACAGGGGCGTGCGCTGCCTGGCACGGCCCCCTGTGCCCCTGTCCCTGTGTCCCCGTGTCCCCACGACCCCGCAGGCACGCCAGGTACTACCGCTGGCCCGACGGCTCCGAGCGCCGCACCCTCACCAAGGCCTTCGGCATCCGCTTCGATGTCCTGGTGTACGGCAGCGTACGTGTGGGGCCGGGGGCTCGCGGGTCTGTGGCAGGGGTGGGGGCTTCCGCCGACAGGGGCTCTGCACCCCCCAGGCCGGGAAGTTCGGCATCGTCCCCACCCTCATCAACACAGTGGCAGCTTTCACCTCCATCGGTGTGGTGAGTTGTGGCCGTTCTCAGCCCCGGCGTGGTGGCACCTCCCGTAGCCATGGGAACACAGCACAGACCCGGGGCGACAGTGGGGGACTGGGGGGGGGGTCAGGGGGTGCCCCATAGCGCAGGGCCCCCCACCCCAACGACGCTGCCCCCAGGGCACGGTGCTGTGCGACATCATCCTGCTCAACTTCCTGAAGGGCGCCGAGCACTACAAGGCCCGCAAGTTCGAGGAGGTCAGACGTGGGGCCGGGGTGCCGTGGGGATGGGGTCACCTCTGGGGGGCTCGATCGGCCCTGCCTGGGGCTGTGTAGGGCTGGCTAGTGGGGGCAGGGCCCCTGAGCCCCCCGGGTGCCCTGGCTGTGGGGCAGTGACTAACCCAGTGCCCGGCCCCACAGGTGCCAGAGGCCGGTGCGCCCGCGACCCCCGCCACCCCCACGACGTGTCCCCCAGGGGCACTGGGGGGCTGCACTCGGGACAAGCAGTCCACTGACTCAGGCACCTTCTCCCTCGGCCTCTAGCCCTGGTGCCACCTACCCCACTGAGGGGAAGCCCACGGCTGGGTGAGGGGCTTGCCGGGACCCCCGTTGGGCTCCTACTGCCCACCCAGTCTCCACACTGAGCCCCATCCCACTGTCCCCAGTGCCCACCCCGCATGCCCAGTCCCAATCCCAGTGTCCCCAGTGCCTTGTCCCTTGCCCCCATGGTGCCCCCATGCACCTCCGGCACCTCCCTGCTCCCCGCCGGCCCCATGCCAGGGGGCCGCAGCCCCCTACAATAAACCCGTGGCTCGCAGCACCCACCCATGTCCAGCCTTGGTTATGGGGGGGCTCTGACAGGCAGGGTTAGGGTGTGGGAGCAGAGGGAGGGGGGGTTAGAGTGCTGCCCCTGGGCAGGGGACCCTGTCCCCCCCATTGCCCACCCAGGAAACAAGGGACACCCCCAAACCCCCTCTTGCCCCCCCCCGGCTGCTCCCAGCACCCATCCAGGCCCCCAGCCCCCCAAAGCCCTCCCCGAACACCAGGTGAATGCTGACACCAGGGCTTTACTGAGCCTCGAGAGGGGGGGTGCAGCTCCCCACGTGGGGGTCGGCGGCAGGGCGGGCCGGGGAGGGCTCGGGGGGCTGAGACCCTCATATCTCACAGATGAAGGGCAGCCGCCTCTTGCATTTCACGCTCCTCCAGCGTGCATCTGGGGAGAGAGGGGGGGTCAGCCTGGAACCCACCAGCACCCCCACCCCCAGGGACACCCTCAGCCCCAGGGACCACCCACTGACCCCTCAATGCCAGCCCCCCCAGTGACAGACTCCCCAGCCACCCCACACTAGACCCCAACGCCCCAGTGTCACTCCCCATGGGGCCCGAGGTGCCCCAGCACCCTCCCCTCCAACCCCACCATGGGCAGGGGGTCCCCTGTGGCCCCCCAAAGCCCCCCCGGAGCCCCCACTGACTTTTGGTGCAGAGGCTGGTGCAGAAGTGGTGGCCAGGCAGGGGGTGCCCGGGCAGCCACTGGCTGAAGTCCCAGGGGCTCCGGTCGGTCCAGTGGCAGTGGGGTCTTGGGATCTGCCAGGTAGAAGGGCATGTGGACCCCCAGCACCAGGCACGGGGTGCCCGGGGAGTGGAGGGCAGGCTGGGCACCCGGCATGGGTACTGGGGACAATAGGATGGGAATGGGACTCTCAGGGTTGGCAGTGGGATACCCGGGATAGACACTAGAGATAATGAAATGGGAATGGGACATCCAGGGTGAGCACCAGGGATACTGGGACAGGGCTGGAGCATCCCCAGAGTGGGTACCAGGGACACCGGGGTGGGGTTGGGGCTTTCATGGTGGGCACTGAGGAGGACACTGGGAATAATGGGGCTGGGACACCCAGGGTGGGCAGTGGGGACACTGGGATGGGGCAGGGTGCCCCAAGGCTGGGGTGGTGGGTGGGGGTCCTTACGGCGGGGTCACTGACGGCACCGATCCAGACCAGGCCTGCGTTGCTGAGCCGGTGCACCAGGCGCAGCAGGAAGGCGTTGGTGCTGGCACTGTGGATCGAGGCCAATTTCCCACGGTATCTCCGGGCACAGAAACTCTGCAGGGACGTGGCTGTCACACGGGGGACCAGAGCCCCCTCCCCCGACCCCCTACCCAACCCACCCATCCCACCTGTGCTTGCTGGAAGGTCCGGCACCTGGGCACCACGACGTAGGTGGGGGTGCTGGCGCCCGGCGCGCTGGGGACGCTGAGTGTCTGTGTGTCGCTGGCCCCAACAGCCTCCTCAGGCACCTCCAGCCCCATTGCCTGCTCCGTCTCCTCTGCCATGGGGCTGGCACGGCCTAGGGGCATCAGCAGTGTCATCCCGGGGTCCGATTTGTCCCCAGGATGTCTCCACGGGCAGGTGGGGGGGTGGAGGCCACTCACCGGAGCAGCTGGGGGGGACAGTGCCCAGCAGGGCCAGGGCGAGCAGCAGGCAGGGCCACATGGTGAAGGGGCACGCAGGGACACGGGGGACACCACCAGCACCCTCGGGAGATATCACAGCCCTGTCACCCTTGGCCACCTTGGGGACAGCCCCATGGCTGTTCTGCCACCCCCATCAGTCATCCCATCCTCCCCACGTCTCCTGTGCCATCCCCAGCATTCCTTTGCCACCCACAGCGTCACTCGGTCTTCCCCATATCCCCTCTAAAACCCTCCCAGATCCCCATGGCCCTCCACCATCCCCAGTGCCACCCCATGCCTCATCCCCTCTGTCACCCCCAGTGTCACCCCCACTGATCCCAGCCCTTCCGTGCCCACCATGTCACCAGTTCCTCACTTCCAACCCCATGGTTGCCCCATCCCCTGGGCACCCTGTGCCACTCAGTCCCCCATCATGTCCCCTGGCACCCCAGAGACCCTCGTGCCAGCCTCCAGGACCCCCAACCCTGGCAGCCAGGGACTGAGCGCAACCCAATATCCCCTCACCTGAGTCCTGGGGGGCTCTGCCCGCTGCCACCCTTATATTGGTGACAGGGACACGTGTCCCCAACCGCAGCCTTGTGACACTCCTGACCACCAACTGCTGGGGACATGCTGGGGGGGACATGGGGGTGACACCTGGGAGGGGGTTCTGCCCACACCCCGCCCGGCCGGTGCTCAGGGTGTGCTTGGTCCAGGGAAGGGGGGTGCAGGGGGCTCAGGGAGGGCACTGAAGGAGTTTGGAGCGCAGGGGCTCAGCATAGAGACTCTGGGAATTTGGGGTGCAGGGCCACGGGGAGGGGGCTGTGGGGGTTTGGGGTGCAGGGGCACAGGGGGCTTTTAGGGTTTGGGGTGCAGGGGCATGGGGAGGGGGCTCTGAGACTTTGGGGTGCAGGGGCACAGGGATGGGGGCTGTGGGGGCTTGGGGTGCAGGGGGCTTGGAGAGGGGGTGCTGGGAGTTTGGGGTGTGTGGTCTCAGTACGAGATCTCAGGGAGTTTGGGGTGCAGGGGCACAGGGGGCTGCTGCGGAAGGGGTTGCACAGAGCGTGGGGGTGAGGATGGGGATTTAGGGTGCAGAGGAGGGGGTGCAGAGCCCTGGGGGAGCTGTGGGTGCTGAGCTGCCGGTCAGGGGGGCCAGTCGGGGGAAGGGGGGGCCTGGGGGAGTCGGGGGGGGCCGTGGGCAAACGGATGGGCCAGACTTGGGGGGCCACGGCCGTTGGGGAGGAAATGGCCCTTGGGCAAGCGCGGCTGGCGGGAGATGGTATCAGCACCCCAACATCCCCTCAGCACCCCTCTGCACCCCAGCACCCCACCCCCGGGACACACTGTGCCCCACACACCCACACCCACCCCTCGGGCTCGAGCAGCCCCCACCCCTGCAGTCCCAGCCCCCGCTTTCCCCCCACCCCGGTGTCCCTCCAGTGCCCCCCGGTGTCCCCCTGGTGCCCCCAAGTCCAGGCTGGGGTGGCGCAAGGCTGTGGTGGGAACACATGGCCCTGTCGCCCTTATAAAGGGCACAGGGGGCAGATCCCCCCAGCCCCCAGGTGAGGAGCGGGGACAGGGGCACGGGGAGGGCTCAGCCCACGGCTGCTGGGGCTGGGGGTAGGGGTGGACGTCCCTGAGGCTGGTACGGGGGGCTCTGGGGTGCCAGGGGGAGGTGGGGGTGGCACAGGGGATGGCGGAGGGGCATGGGGCACAGAGAGGCAGAATGGGGTGAGGGTCACGGGTTGGCAACGGGTGTGGCAGAGGCTCGGTGGGGACATGGGCGGTGTCAGGGCAGACGCGTGGAGGATGGGTTGTCACCAAGAGGGGCACCAAGAGGGGCACAAAGAGGGGCTCTGGACCACTCCTCCAGGGTGGTGGAGGATGACTGGGCTGTGGTATCTCCCGAGGGTGCTGGTGGTGTCCCCAGTGTCCCCGCGTGTCTCCCCACCATGTGGCCCTGCCTGCTGCTCGCCCTGGCCCTGCTGGGCACTGTGCCCACCAGCCACTCCAGTGAGTGTCCCCCTGCCCCTGTGAGTGCCCCCCACGCCCCCGCCTGCCCGCGGTGACATCCTGGGGTCACCCTCAGTCCCTGCCACCTCACTGCCATGCCCGCCTCGCCAGTGCCGCGTGCCCAGGGCTGGCAGCAGGCGGCAGAGGGACCCCGGTGCCAGCCCTCACAGCCCTGTCCTCCAGCCCCCCGCCAGCCCCAGGGGGTGCCCGCGGCCGAGGCCATCCCGCAGCCCCGGTACACGGTGGTGAACCGGCTGCGCACCTACTCGAGTGCCCAGGTGAGGGGACGTGGGGCACGGTTGGGTGCCAGGGGGTCCCGGGGGGCCCCGGGGGGTCCCGGGGTGCCAGGCCATGGCCATCCCACAGCGGCACTGCCGGGAGGTGCCGGTGGGAGGTGTGTGCGGGGGTGCTGAGGTGCGGGTGGGTGCCGGCGGGTGCCCGGTGCCAGGCTGTGCCCGTCCCGCAGAGCTACTGCCGGGAAGTGTACCGGGGCCAGCTGGCCTCCGTGCACAGCGCCTCCCGCAACCTGGAGCTGCAGAAACTGGCCCGCACCTACACCTACATCTCCGTCTGGATCGGGGCCGTCACCAGCTGCAAGGTGAGGGGGCACCGGGGGGGGGCGTCTGGGCTGGCCGGGGGGGCTGGCACCGGTCTGGGGGGACAAGGGGCTGGGTGTGGAGTGCTGGGGCTGCTTTTGGAGGTGAGGGGTGCTGGGGCTGGTTTTGGGGGGCGAGGGGCTGGGTATGGGATGCTGGGGGCTGTCACTGGGGGCTGTCACTGGGGGCTGAGATGTAACCACGGCAGGGAGGGAAGTGGGTGTCATACTGGGAGGACTCCAGCCCCTGGAACTACGCCAACTGGGGACCCACCTATCCCCACCACATTGTGACCACCTGCACCACCCTCAGCACCCGAGGTGAGGGCATCCACACCCCCCCACCCACCAAGCTGGGCACCCGGGCTCAGGGGGCACGGGGCTACTGGGGACAGTGGGGGAGCCACTGGGAAGGGGCACAGGGCCACTGGAGGCAATGGGGAGGGCACTGGGAGGAGGCACAGGGCTACTGGGAGCAATGGGAAGGGGTTCAGGGCTACTTGGGGCACTAGGGGGGCACTGGGAGGGGACACAGAGCTACTGGGAGAAATGGGAGGGAGTTGGAGGTTACTTGGGTCACTGGGGGGGCACTGGGAGGGGGCACAGGGCTACTGGGAGCAGTGGGAGGGGGTTCAAGGTTACTTGGGGCACTGGGGGGGGGCACTAGGAATGAGCTGCAGGGTACTAGGGCACTTGGAGGGGCATAGGGGGCATTGGGAGGGGTTACAGGGCACTGGGGGCCACTGGGAGGGTTATAGAGGGGCCCTGGGGTCCACCCCATGGCCCCGACCGCTGTCCCTGTCCCCAGACGGGCTCTGGCGCAGCCGCCCCTGCTTCCAGCCGCGCCCCTTCATCTGCCAGTACTGATCTCCCAGTGCTGCCACGGCCCCCCAGTTCCCTTCCCAGTAAAGCAGAGGAGCTCTGAGCCATGTCTGTGTGCGCAGGGGGCCTGGGGAGGGGGCTGGGGGAGCAGCACAGCGGGTGGAGGGGGCAGCGACGTTTATTACCCCCAAACCCCCCCGTCCCACCGGCACAGCACCCCCAGGCCAGTACAAAAACGGGGTGCTGGGTGCCGGGTTCCTGGCGGGTGCGGGGCTCAGTGAGGCATCTCGGCGGGGGTCTCGGCGGCAGGGGGGGCTGTCAGGGGCGTGCCAGCTGCCTCCAGCTCCTTGGCTCGCCGCCGGCACTCGCGGGCCACCACCACGGGGCTGACGAAGGCCAACAGCACCACGGCGATGAGCCCCACGTTCACCTGGGGAGGGGGGAGTGTCCGGGAAGGGGGCTGAGGGGTTGACCCCACCCAGGGGGAGCCCCTGGGCCAGCCCCATGGCCACCCCAGTCCCCTGTGCTAGGTCAGGACCCCCATTTTCCCGGGGCACGACCCCCACCCTAGTGTGGGGCAGGACCCCCATCCCTCCCGGGGCTGGACCTCCATTTCCCCATGGGGCAGGAGTCCCACCTCACTGTGGGACAGCACCCCAATCTCTCTCTGGGCAGGCCCCCCATTCCCTCAGGATCAGGACTCCCATCCCTCCCCAGAGCAGGACCCCCATTCCCCCGTGGAGCAACCACCCCATTCCCGATGGAGCAGCCCCCCCCACCCATCGGGGAGGGGCCTTGGGGTGCACTCACATAGAAGGGGTCCCCTTGGAGCGGCCCCTGCACCAGGGCGACACAGGGGTACTGCAGGAGGGCCACCAGCGCCGACAGTGCCATGGCCAGCCCGTACAGCTTCCCAAAGTGCTGCGGGGGGAACCTGCCGGGCACCCCCGTCACTGCCAGGCACCCCCCGACACCCTGCCCTTGGCACCCCTCCCAGTACCCTCCTGACACCCTGACCCCTGACAGCCCCACTCTGACACACTGTTCTTTGGCGCTGCCACTGCCATACCCCGTCCTCTGACACCCTCAACCGTGCCACCACCCCTGCCACCACCGCCACGTCCCCTGCCACTCCCTGACACCGCCAGCACCCTCTGCCACCACCACCACGTCTCCTGCCACTCCCTGACACC